AATATTTCTTTATTTAACCTTGGTGCACCCAGGGAGATGGTATACACAGAACCTAGACGTACTGTATGTCTGACTTGGAGCTAAGCCCCATGCCATGACTTCTAACTGTAATATATAAAAACCTCATTGGTCAGTGAGGATCTGGCTTTGTCCAACCTGCTGATTGAAAGAAGAAAAAATGCATTCTCTATGGTCTGCCTAACACAGAAAATATTATTTAACATCTTAAATAACACAGGAGTTATTTGCTTAACCTCCCTGGCGGTATTCCTGAGTGTAGCTCGGGCTAAAGTTTCAGCACCACAAGCGGCAACCCCGAGCTACACTCGGGAATACACTGCAGTGTTACTCCGGGATCCCTTCTGCACTTACCTTGTCCTTCGCTCCCGCGATGTGTCCCCTGCAGTGTCCCCGGCAATGTCCTCCGGCCGATGCTGGCATCCGTCTTCTGGGTTCAGTTCCCTGCGACGTCGGGACGTACGGGGATGGAACTGGTGGAAAATTTTAAAATTAAAGTGACATTCACTAAATACACTAAACTCTTATCATCAAACATTACTGTATCAAACCATTTCACATATATTTTGTCTCTAGTGCTTTGTCCTGTGCCCTGCCTGCATTTTTACTGTTCTTTCTGCCTTGAAACTGAGAAATGTCCATGGCGTCCAAAAAGAGTCCCTTTAGGTCAAAAGCGGTTTTAGACCAACTAGAGAACAGCGATAGTAAATTAGAACCACTTGCAGAATTTAGTGATAATGATTCGTGGGGAAATTCGTCATCAGACACTGAAAACGATTTTGCGACTTTGCTCAGTGATGGCGAACTTGGCGCTATATTTCAAATTTCAGTGTTTTTGGTTTGATTATATTATTGAATTAAATTTATTATTATATTATTATTTTTATGATTATTATTAAATTATAATTTATGATTTCATGTTTCAAATTTTAACATACCCGGGATGTTTACTAGACTCTTGTTCGGACAGATTTCAGTGAGTTATTCCTAAAAATTACAGGCCTACAATAAAAGAACGACATATTTCCATACAAAAAAATTTACCGCTTTGAGGACAGAAATATGGACATAATCAGACCGCTAGGGAGGTTAAAGGTAGTAAACTCAAAAGCAAAAATATATTATATTGCAGTTTACCAACTCTTAGATGTGATGAGTACATTAGTTTTCTTTTTTAGGCTTTTTCCCCTTTATTGGTGATCCAGCCAGTAAATCTTTTATTTTTTTAAATTTCCTTCAAAAGGCCAAGCTTTCCAGCAAAAGTGGCAGTTAGAGGGTTGAGACCAGGGCCAGGGGTGAAGGGATATATGCCCTAAGCACAGCAGTAGTATGTAAAGGAGGAGGCACAATGGGGCCTCCATTTACTCCCTACTCTCTGCCTGTCACTGACGGGGGAGTTACTGCAGTGTCACTACTGTCAGCAGGGTTTTTTTCATCTGGAGCATGGTGGTACCTCCAGCACTAGTGCTCACTGCTGTCATGTGTAGCTTATTTTTACAAGTGACAGTGCTCCCTAAGTGACAGTGCCCCCTGAAAGCAGGCGGAGTGGCTGCCAGGAGGCTGGGCTCTTATGCTGCAGAGCAGGAAGCGCTAACATAGTGCATAACAGCCCAGACACCTGGCAGCAGTTCCTCCTGCACTGGGAACTGGGTAAGTAGCCAAAGGGGGGATGAAGAGGCATTCCTTGCCTATTAGCCAAGAAAATGGTTATTACTGTTTTGAAACATTAGTCTCCTATTGGCTTCTATACAGATTTGGCTCCTAAACTTTTGTAATGTTTCCTGCAGCTGCCTCAAAGAAGTCTTTCCATTGCCTCCATATGGTAAGGAGTGTCAGTATTTACCTATCAGTCACTGCTTCTTTTAGGAAGACAGAATCCCTATTTGTTATTCTATAAGGTCATAAAATAGGTTCTCGGCCTTCCAGATACATCTGTTTCTAAGAGGTTAATCTGCTCATATTGAGTGCAGCTATTTTCTTAGCTAACCTCCATTACATATCAATTTTATTTGTATCCCAGTCTGCAGCTCTGACAGGAAAAAGTCTCTGTTGCAGAGAACGACTTTTACATGGGCACAAATGCAGGAGAGTCTCCTTCTGCAGAACACAGAGCAGGATGTGAAGTGCTAGGAGGAGTGTGGAGGACTATGGGAGATGTAGTCCCCAAAGAGACTTCCTAATTTCTGTTTTTGAACTTCATCTCCAAGATGCACTGTGGTGAAGAGGAAGAGTAGTTGTAATCTTTTTTTCTGGGCTGAGGAGTGAGGGGAAAAGAGAGACCTCTTGCAGAGAAAACTGAGGCTGTGAGGGGACTGCTGCAGCTGACTAAAAAGAGAGACAACATGGCAGCCATTCTAGAGCATTGGAAAACACCCTGAATTCTGGTTGAGCCTGCTGCCTGATTGACTAGATGAGTGCTGAGGACACTGCCCAGGGTACATTTTACCAGTGAGCAGAAGGCAATTCCTCTGCTGACCGACTCTGCATTACAGCTCACTAAAAGAAGGACAGAGTTGGCTATAAGGACATATGACAGTGCCTGCATCAGTTCTTCAAGGGACATTACCTTGAGTGCTCCACCATAATGGTTGGGCCCCAATAAGCTGGCCAGCTAAAGAAGTAGGGAAGCAGACAACTGACAGTTGAACTGTTATTGTGATATATATACATCTCCCTCAAATTAGGGTTGCACCATACAGAGTTGAGGAAGGGTTGTGTTTTAAAACAGTTTTTGTTGCTTCAGAATATTACTCCCATTGTTTAATTTTTATAGTAAATTTCTCTTCCTGTTTAACCATTGCAGTATAATTCCCTTACCATTCATTACAGTATTTTTCCTTTTTGGTAACCCTGTTGCAATATACTTGTTTTGTTATTACTTGATCAGTTGCTCTGTCATTTTTGGTTTCTATGCACCTTGAGCCATTGGGGTATATGTACAGTTATCTGCAGTAAACATTCCCCATTCAGCCATGTGTGTCTGTGTTTTTGCAGCTGTTGGCAGAGTAATGGGCACAGGAACAGGGGACCCAACACATTAAATGGCTCCTTCAGGGGTAAGCGCTACATACTGTATATTAAAGTAGAAAAAAAAGCCTAAGTCTAATTATTCTTCAAAATGTTCCCTGTTTGAAAAAGTGTGTACTTACCTATTTTTAATCTACTCTGGTCCTGTCAAGTGATCCTGAAGCACCAGCTCAGGCAGAATTTGACAACAGCTATAAACTCCAGGAGCTGTGACATAACCCACATGTTCCTATGGCCCAGCCATTGTCAGCAATCCCTCCTCTTTCCTGCAGCAGTTACTTACTGACACAGGGAAGCCAGAGCTGCAGGATCATGTGACTGAACTGGAGCCGATTAAAAATAGGAAACTACACATCTTTTTTTTTTCAGGTTAGGCACGGTATGTAGGATTGGTGGTGGTGGTGGTGGGGGGGTTGTTTTCTTGTTGTGTGTAGAAGCAACTGGCATACGCCAAGTTAACTGACATTTCAAGGACAGTCAGAAAGGTATGCCAAGCTGCATTGTGTCATGGTAACCCCATGCCATCTATTGTGTAGGTAACCATGGGCTCCCTTCTGTTGTGTTGTTTAACCAAGGACTCATCCACTGTCTATAAATACTCTTACCCATATTCAATAATGCAGAATAGCTTTTACAGTACATACAGCTTGGGGTGTGTGTCCATTTTCTTGCAATAATGATATAATAATTTGGGTATACTGACTAATGTTAGAATGACAAAACCCCTTAGATAGCACTACCCTCATAAGGGCCGCTGTGTTGTGGGTACCCCTAAGCTTCTTTCTGCACAGCCAGGCAACAAGTATTTCTCACACAGACTTGCATCCAAGAGACAGTGACCAGTCCGTGGGCTTGGTTTTGTTGTTCTATTAGGGGAAATCAACTTTGGTAGGGAAATAGGGATGCCCAGTTGGCTTGAATCAATGAAGGTGGGGACAACTTCCTTCCTATGTACAAAGGCCAATCCTGGACTATTCTTGAAAGCTGTCATTGTTTGAGGATCAGTAGCAACAGCCCTTTATAGGTGAGGAAGTAGCAGCCTCTCAAAAATCAGCTTAACTTCACGTAACTACATGTCTTCTCTCCCCCTGTAGAGCTGCCCCCAGCTTCACGGTCTGCAAACAATACCAGCCCTCCTGGCTTCTCGGAAGATCTCCCAGGACAAGGATAAAGGAGTGAGCCAGCGCTGTCCTTAGAAGGCTTGCTACGTGTGACAGTCTTTCCCCTTGTAGATCCCAGAGTGTGCTGCTGTACTTCCTCTGTCCTGCTGCTCCATCTTCCAACCAACTCCTCTGTCTACCTGACTTTCCCATATTTATGGGCCAGTCCACCACTCTACCAGGAACGCCAAACCTGAGATTGGCCTGACTGCCATAAACATGCAGATTAGGTTGGTGCCTAGGAGGGGTCCCCTAAGTCTAGGGAGGGCTGGCCTCCAGGGTGGTCTCGGACTGGCTCAGGAGGATACATTCTGCAGAGTAGCATGAATGGAATCAAGACTTGGAGCAGCAGGGAGCAAAGATGACAGAGGTGTAACATACTTCTGACTCTGTCTGTATGTAGGGCTATATTTTAAAGAATAAGTTCACCTTTTATTAAAAAACAAATGTACATCTTTTTGCAGAAAATATAAGCAGCCTGTGAGGCATTGCACCAGTGGGCAGGTGCTGTATTGTGATATGTTATATGTTGCACACTAAATACAGGTGTAACAAAGGTGAATTTATCCTTTAGTACCTTCCCATTGTTTGTATAATTTTGCTGAACCCATCATTTTCTTTGGCGCTGCGTTTAGCCCAGCCTCCTACTCTGCCCCCATTCTCAGGGAATTAGATTTTCCAAAGTTCCAAGGTATGGATCAAGATGTACTCAGGGGGCGGACTGACCATTTGGAAACTCGGGCACTGCCCGAGGGCCTGGGGTCAATAGGGGGCCCCATGAGATGCCCCTGGTACCTTTTTCATAGGCTTTTTTGAGTTTGGGCAAGGACACAGGGGCCCCATGAAACCCTATTGCCCGGGGGCTCCATGAGTTGTCAGTCCACCCCTGGATGTACTTCCCAACAACGGTCAAGAATGTTGAGGTCATCAACTATCTGTGCTGTCTCAACTGGTTTCGGACTGTCTGAACAGAATTACAAATCTTTTGTCAAGTAAAACAGTCTTCTGTGTATTTATTTGTTTTTGTAATGTGCAGCAAGTAGATGGAAACTCAATTACATTGTTCGATAGAAAACTATGTATCATAATCAATTGCCATTTCCTAAATACTGTACAACTGTTGTTGTTTTAACTTTTTTGATCTTTTGTTGCATCTCAGTGCTGCTCATCTCCTGTTACTTCTTTGCAGCAACTTTGTGTCTACATGCACTCACTCCAGTACTACATGGTATTCTCAGGGTGGGTCTCTTGCTGGTGGCAACAGGGGACCGTACCTGCACAATATTTTTTGAAATTTGCACTTACAATCTCGATTGGAAACCTGTGTGATAAAGCAGAACAGAACACTGTCGCCTTGTAATTGGAAGTGCCTGCACAAAAGATCGCTATACACTATGTCAATGAAAGTTGCACATTTAAAGGATAAGTTCACCTTCTGGAACATGTTACATGTTCCACCCGTCTTTTAGGGGAGAACATGTGACATGTTTCCAATGCTGCAGCCACTGCCTGATTCCTCCCCTCTTCCCTGTGACAGCGGTACAGGGAGAAGTTCCCCAGTACTAGCTGTCAGTTTTTGAAACCAGTGCAGCTGTGCGGGGCTACACCAACACGGACACGTCATTCATTCACAGAGTTCTGTGAATAAGTGAACTACAAGTCCTGACAGCCTTAGCAGCTGTCGGCTTGCACTTCTCAATGAACAACCACAGGGGAAGAAGAGATATACTGACAGGTCTGCAAGAGACCTGCATGGCACCAGTGATCTGCTGATTGCTGGTGCAATGCTTTCCAGGCTGCTGCAACAAAAATAAATAAATGCACAATTTTCTACCTGCAAAAAAAGTGCATTTATTCTTTTTTGTCAAAAGGTGAATTATCCTTTAAGAAGATTGAAAATTACTTTTGAAATGACATTAACATTTTAAAGATTATGAGATTTTAATGATTGGGATTACATAACATTTTAACATTTCATTTTCATAAAAAAATTTAAATTGCCTTGTTATGGTTATATGATTTTTTATTAAGAATTATTTTCGGCATCTCAGCAAATAAAAAAGGAAGTTTGCCTGATGTTTTCTTTCTATCCACAAGATGGCAACATATCACTGCAAGTGCGAGTCCTCAAATCAACACAATAAGACTGAAAACAGTTTTTCACAAATGAAAATCCAATTTCAGTTTAATCACCAAATTATTGGGTGATAAGAACTTGATTGTATTGTATCAGGCATAACAATTATGTCCACTTTATAAAGATGCCTGCAATTTTAGTTTAATTTCAATAGCAAATAAAGTAGAAGTAAGAGATCTGGTTTAATCCAAACTGAACCAGTGATATAAATATAAATATAATTGTTACATGTAAAGCAGGTGGAGCATTGGGGAAGGTTTCATCTTCTAACCATCATATGCCAGGAGTGGTGTAGAATGTTTGAGGTTCACTGCTTGGGATGCTACAAGGACTGAAATGAAGTACATCAATTTTGACACTGAATGGTTTCCTTTTAGGTGATATATAGAGCAAATGATAGAGAGCTTTTGAGCTACAGTGTTGCCTAGTCCACATTGCTGGTACGTCATGCTTTCACCAGACCCATGTGAGAAGTAGTAGACTGTCACAAATAATGGCACTACCATTAATAATTTGCCAGCCAGTATGTCGGAAAACTCCTTGTCAAAGGTACCTCCTGTTCAGAATTGCTCTTGGTTGCTCTGGCTAAAAATATCTGCAATAAAATAGCACCTAAAGCCATCTGTATGTCCCTGTAGATTTCCTAGAAATAGGGTTGTTCCAATTAAGTTGATACAGACAAAGCCAGTTCAGCTTCCATGAAGTAGTCTGCAATAGTTAGCTATAGGCAGCTATAGTTAGCTATTTAGATATAACTATAGCCATCACAGCTCATGCAGCTGCTTGGGGGCTCAATAATTACATATTAACCATGTCAGCTGTTTAATGGAGCAGAGAGCAAAAATTGATAGTATTGCAGCTTACTGCTCCTTTATGTTATGTTTTGGCTGCATTAGCTTTCTTTTTTCACAATTGTTTCTTTATTAACCTGGTAATCCTGCCATGAATTCACTTCCTGCCCTAGGGTGACACCTGCACTGAGCAGCATAGGACAGGGAGTGTGTTAGGATTACATAGCACCTCCCTTTCTTCTTTATAATTTGGGAAGTCAGGGGAGAACTGACAACTCATGGGGACCCCGGGCAATAGGGGATCATGGGGCCCCTGTGTCCTTGCCCACACTGAAACCACACCCAAAAAAGCCTATGAAAGGCACCAAGGACATCTCATGGGGCCCCCTACTGACCCCGGGCCCTCAGGCAGTGCCCGAGTACCTGAATGGTCAATCCGCCCCTGTGGGAAGGTCTTCTATATAACTATTTTGTTTATTACAGGTACTTATATAGTGCCGTCCATTTACGCAGCGCTTTACATGTGTGTATATATATATATTGTACATTCACATCAGTCCCTAACCCTCAAGGAGCATACAATCTATGGTCCCTAACTCACATTCATACAGGGGCCAATTTAGATAAGAACCAATTAACCTACCAGCATGTCTTTGGAATGTGGAAGGAAACCAGATTACCTGTAGGAAACCCATGCAGGCACAGGGAGAACATGCAAACTCCAGGCAAGTGGTGCTGTGGTTGGGATTCAAACCAACGACCCTAGTACTGCCAGGCAGAAGTGCTAACCATTTAGCCACTGTGTTGCCCATTATAGGGGAATTATAGATGACATGAAGATAGCAGGGGACAGTGCTAACTGATAACAGTCCAGAGGCAACATCCCCCCTAATGTCCAACGTGCCTCTGATCCTAAGACCCCTGAAAGTATGAATAGGAGTGGTGGTCTAAGTGACACTTTTAAGACATTTTTCAAATAGAGTGGTTAAGTCCACCTTTCACAAACAAATAATGCATGCACATATATTTGCAGGAAAAAAATGCTTTTTTTTTTTGCAAATTGGCCTACAATGCATTGCAACTGTGCTCATTGGATCATGGGTGCAATGACATGCTCCTGCAGAATCTTCCCCCAGTTCCCTGTCCTTGCAGAGGTAGGGACTATCAGAGAGCTGGAGGAAGTGTCAATGGATGGTTCCATTGAGACACATATGTCTCGCTGCTGTTGTGGAGGATGGGACAGATCTCTGTGAATAAATGAAGTGGCTATATGGGTGCAGCCCCACAAAGTTTAATAGTGGCAGGTGCCAGGGTGGAGGGGGGGGGTGCAAATTTGCACTGTGTTGCATGTTACACCCTAAATACATTACCAATTAAAAGTTTTAGAACACCTCTATTATTTCAGTTTTTATTGAAGTTTTTTCTCAGTTTATTGTCTCAATGTACTCTGAAAAAAGAGCATAGAATTAATAAAAAATTTAACACAAAAAAGAAATGATGGAATCATTTTCTTTAACAAAATGTAACTAAAATGTTTGACTCATCAAAGCAACTTTTCCAAAAATACAAACTGATCACACTCATGGCATTCATTCTACAATGGAAATCAAATATTGCTCTATTGAAAATTCTTTCCAACACTGTTGCAGAAGTTCCCACAAATGTTTTGCACTTGTAGGCTGCTTTGCTTTTCTCTTCTGTCCAATTCATCCCAAACCAGCTTGATGGGATTTAAGTCTGGAGACTGTGCTGGCCATTCCATCTTTTTCTTTTCTTCTAAGGTAGTTGTGAAACAGTCTGAAGGTATATCTTGGGTCATTATCTTGCAGTAGGATGAACCCCTGACCAACTAGTGTATTCCAGAAGGTACTGCATGGCGCTGAAAATGCTGTGGTAGTAGTTTTGGTTAAGGGTGCCACTCAGTCTTTGCAAATTGCTAACACTGGATCCAGCAAAAGAGCACCAGACCATCATGGTTCTTCCTCTATTTTTGACAGTTGGAGTCACACACCAAGGAACAATCCTTTCATCATCTTGATGGCATACAAAAAGCCTGCATGTTGAACCAAAGATCTCATATTTTGATTAATCAGTCCATAAGACCTTCATCTAGTCTTCAGCAGTCCACTGGTGGTGCTTCATAGCCGAGGCAAGCCCCTTTTCCCTATTTTACCATCTTCGCAGTGGCTTTTTTACAGCCGCTCCATTTGTCAAATCTGCAGCTCAAAGTCTTCTCTTTACAGTTGAAATCGAGACTAATGTCTAAACAACATCTCAACATGCTTGATCAGCAAGCAGCCAGCAAATTCACATCACCTATATGAATAAAGTATAATTCCCAAATCACATATTGCTGGTGCTATGAGAACCCTTACCTATAAAAAGTCTTATTGAACAAATAAAAAGATTGAAAAAAGAAATATAGCGAACTTCTCTCCACAACAACTTACAGCTAATTAATGTCCATACAACAGGAAAAAGTAACGCTGACAGTTCACAAGAGTTAATGACAGCTTTATAAAGATAAGTTTCTCCTAAATGTAAACCATAATCCTGCTAGGTAATTCAGTGTTTGACATTGTCTTAGGCAGACCATAGATTTGTCGAAAATCGAACAAAAATTATTGTCGTCAAAGCATTAATTTTTCGCAGCATTTTTGTGTCAGCTGCGACAAGTGATTTTCGTGCCACATTCGAAAGTACTTGATCTAACATGCTATTTTTTTTTAAACGAAAACAAATTATGGTACAGTTGTATGCACCATTTTCATATTTCGTTCGACAGAACGTTCAGTTTCGACTGATCTATGGCAGGCCTTAATTGCAGCATGAACTCATTTGGCTCTGTAACAAGTGAATGTACCACTGACAGTACACAAAAAAAGTAATAAACACTTTATAAGAAGAAACGTCTCCTAAATAATTGCAGTAATCCACTGC